TCTGAATTGTTTAAGTGTGATATTCAATAATTTTTATTTTAATTCATCAGAGGTTTTGCTAAGTTGCCGGATATAAGTTTCTTTAACTTTTACTTTACTGTATTTAGCATTTATTCAAATAGGCCTACACAATAAAATAACAATACACTATATAAGAAAAAGATGAATAAATACTTAAATAATTATAAATATTAAATTAAACTCTAAATGTAAATTTACTTAGATTAGATTTTAAAAAGTAGACACGTCCTTATCTATTCATTAATAAGAATACTTTTTTCAATCTTCTAATCAATTTTATATAGCCAAAGTTAGTTTCAACATAGGCACACCTTACTAAAAAGGTACACTTTCTCAATCAAAAGGCTTCTTCTGAATGGAATAACCTGTTCGAAGCACGAACTCCCGTAGACCAAACCCAGTACCGTTACGATTTTCAATCATGCGGAAATCCATTCATCGAGGTGGGTAAAGCCGACCTCCTAAAAAGACTTCAAAGTGTAGCAGTATATAACAGGAGGGTAGAAATAGTGTTGAGTGACAGAAAAGTTCCAGCACCGCAGTTTAAGACCCGAGCATTAGTCATGAGCAGGCTATCTGACTATTCAAACAACATTTTGATATTGTTTTTTGAATTCCTGTATACCAATTTAAATTTTGAAATGCTCCTCGTTTGAGAACTAGGGTAGCGTTTTATTTGTCCTAAACCTTGTTCAAGGTTTGGGAAATACTTTTTTCTTAAAAATGTATTACAATATTTAACTATGTGCCGATATTTCGAATCATTAGCAGGTCAAAACAATAAAGTTGATGAATCAACTCCATTTTTTATCCTCGAGAACGAGAGTAATTACAATGCCTACTGCAGAAATAGTGCACAGTATTACTGTAAGTATACAGAAAAATCAATTCGTGATCATATCCCTGACATCTCTAAAAAGTAGTTTGCTGCCCTCAACCATAAACTAGAGCCGGGACGCTTACACTGTACGACATTTATCAAGTTCTTTGTTTTTTTATACCATAGCTTTGAATAAAGATTACATGGACTCACCTAAACATTGTAACCTACCCATCTTCATCATTACCATTATATATACCATGCATCATCACACATCATCACCACCATTATCATCATATATCATGACCATACACACTATAAGAATCATCAACACATCAGCCTACACATTATCATTATAATCATCATTATCACCATCATCATTCTACACATTATCATCATCATTATCAGTATCCTACACATTATCATTATTATTACCATCATCTTCATCATCATATAAATCATCATTATCTTCATCATATGCATCATCATCATCCTATGCAACATCACCATCATCATTATCATGCATCATCACAATCAATCATCATCATATGCATCATTATCATATCATATTATTCATTATCTTACACATCATCTTCATATACAGTACATCATCAGCATATACATCATCAGCATATGCATCATCACCATAGACATCATCAGCATATGCATCATCACCATACGTAACAACATTACCATTACCATCATAATGTATCTTCATCATTATTATTGTAATAATCCTTATTTCTGTTTACAAAAATACATAAATATGGTTTATCTGCTGCTTGGTTATTTTATTCATTACCTGTTTCTTGGTCACATGGCAAGAAGAAAAAATATATTCATATACATTTTTATATACTGTATATACATAAATAAAAACCCTTGTTAAATAATAATAATAAAAAAACACCTTAAAAGAAATCTTCAGTCTCTAATACTGACATTCAATTCATGATATGGTACTACTGCCTTCATAATATATTAAGACAAGTGAGTTAATAGGTAAAATGAGTTATATATTAAATATGTTATTGTGCTAATTTATACAGTACAGAATTTCCAAATATTATTTGCAGGAACCACCTGCTTACAAATGAAAGTTTCCTTAAAAAAGCAATTAATTAAAGTGCAGTGTGACCTACACGCTTAATTTCAAGATAATAAAAAAAAATCTATGAATAAGGCATGTTCCCCTTTAGAAGGATTTGAAGAAGTTATGACCTTACCACTGCATATCAGTACTGATATACAAGAGGGAAGTAAACATTATGTTTAAAATTCTGAAAATCTGGGTTTTTTTTTATAAATAATATAAACACCACAGATATACTGCCTGCATTATAAAATCCAAAAAAAGCCCCAAAAATCAATTCAATTAAAACACTGAATTATTTATTTAAAGGTATCAAAATAAGCTATCGATAAGACATACAGTAGGAATACAGTATTAGTTATGTGGTTGAGAAGAAAGAAAAAATTATTTTTCTACTTGTCAATTACAGATAATAATGTACATACCCATATTGGATTTTTCTTTTTGTTAAACCAAAAAAAAAAATTAAAAAGAAAAGAAATCAATAATGCTTAATAGCTATGTACAAAGTGTAAAAAAAATCAAATAAGCTTAAATACATGTTACTTTTCGAGATTGTTATTACTCAACACTGGCAGAATATCTTTAAAGTATGTACCGTATTTTGCACATAAAAAAACAAGAAAAATATTAGTACATTTTCTATAATAGTACATTTAGTATATCAAAAGGATTATAAAATACCTTCACCTAATATAAATTAGAGTTGCAAAGGCTAGTAATGGACGAGTATGATGTATGTGTTAATTAATGTAGTTTTTTTATTTGATATTCAACCAAAATATCTTGAAGTGTTTTTTCGCTGCAAAATTATGGTTAAACAGTTTATAAATACACTATGTTCACGTTGATAATTTCTATGTTACTTAGCAAAGTAAATTTCAAAAATGATTTTCATGATATTTTCAGGAATTTGTCAAGTGAGAATACATCTTTTACTCAATGAAAACATCTCAATATTGAGACTCCCTTAACATCAACATCCATGGTCCTGGTTTTAGCTCGTGTCTACCTTAGGTATATATTGTAACAAGAGTTGAGTTTACATTGTATACATATCATCGCTCACATCACGAACTAACACAATTAAATTCAATTGTGTTAGTTCGTGAAATCAAAAAAGCGCGTCAAAATACGCGCTGTTGTTGTTAAGGACTTTTTGTGTGGTAAAGAATACAAAATTGCTTGACAACCAATACGCGCTCATTTTGACGCGCTACTGTGATTTCACGAACTAACACAATCTACTTTGATTGTGTTAGTTCGTGGTATGAGCGACGATATTGACCAGGGATTAGTTCAGCGTGGTCAAATGGTACTGCTGTTAAAAAGTGGATTTAAAGGCATGGGCTAGGCAGAGAGTAGGAATATAAGGGTGCATGGGAAAAGTCTAACTGTGGAAAAATTCTGCAAAAAGTTCCGAAATGCCTGGTAGTAGCACACGCTCAGTGCGGAAGATTAAACTGGGTCGCACCAGACTTTTCTGCTAAGAAAAAACAGCCTCATTATTCCTTCTGGGCAACATTCTGTCAATTGAACCCACCCCCACCCCCCCCCCCCCCATTTCT